AATCTAGATTGTTCGTATGGGTTTATATGTCATTGATCCAGTTGATAAAACATTGTTCTGTAATCGACAGTATCATTACATCATACATTGTTAAGAGTACAAACTCACAAGTTATAACCATTAATATCTTGTCTACCTCAATAATAATACTAATAATAACTCCAGTTATATGAAAACCAAGAGAGTAATGGTTTTTTTCTCTTCAGATCTATACTGAATGAAATTTCACCCGTTACGATTAATTATTTCAACAACAACAACAACAACAACAATTTTAAAAATCTATCAAACTGAATTTTACGCCAAAACATTTTAACTATTGAAATATTTAATAAATGAATAAAATTAGAAAAAAAAATAAACAATCAAAGTAAGTTGATAGAGACTTTTTTCAAATGAAAATAAACAAAAAAATTTTTTTTTCAAATGATAAAATTCAATGTTGTTGCTATGATCAACAGACATAGTTACAAACGTTAATAATTTTGTGTTAATTAGATAACAAAAGAGTTCATTGTTTAATAAGTTTATTGATTGAAACAACGTGATTTTATTCGAATATTCATGGGTTTTTGTATGTGCGTGCGTGTGTGTGTGTGTAATTTAAGCTGTCCACTATAATGAGTCCATGCCAAACTATAAAAAGAAATGCCTTGAAGAATCAAGAACTTACTAATTAAATCTAATATAAAAGCAATATTCAGAATGAAATTTTCTCCACAAGAAAGTTATGATTTTTTAAAAGAAAAACTTGAGACTATAATTTATGGACGAATTTTGAGCGGACTTAGACTGACCTTCAGAGTGTCCACCTGAAAACTAGGACGAAATGAGGATTATAAATCAGTTTGGGGCATTAGAATTAGAATTCACAGTTGACGATTAAGGTTAGGAACTAGATTTCGGGTTTTCATCACGAACTGACATCAGTTATAATGCCAAAACTCTATTTAGCGAAATGGATGGATGAATTTCGCGCCAATATCCGAGACCTGTTACTTTATGCGTGATTGGTTCGTCCATAAATTATAGTTTCGCCAGTTGAACTTTCGAGACTGTTTTAACTGAAGATATTATTCATATTGTGTTGTTTAATTACTTAAACACTTAAATTATTGCATTCTTGTATTTTCCTATTTGTAAGCTTTTTAGTGATGCGTAAACTATTGTTATAAGTTGTATGTTTCTAACATTACTGCCAATTAGTTTTGGATCATTTACTTAGTTCGCTTTCAATTGATGCATAGTTATTCCTATTTTGTAATTTCTCAATGTTGACGATAAGTGGTCAGAATTTTGCTCTGTATCAGTTAAACCATGAAAGTGGACTGTATAAGTAGAAGATTTCACCTGCTGTGTTGTATTTTGTTCTGACTATCAGGCGAGTGAATGTGAGAAAACTGCATTCTGGACTAATGTCAATAAATGGTATTCACGTATGTATTCTCACTATCATCGTCCTATTAGCTAGCCGAAAGTCATTGGTGCAAACAAGAAAGTCCAAACAAACTAATCAATACTTGGACTAGATCAATACAACAGCACTCCTAATTTCATGAGTCCCAAAAATAACTACAAGAAATCTGTTTTTTGACAGCACATCAACAATTCATGATGACTGCTTTTAGATTTGTGCTAATTCTCATAAACAACTTTACCAAACAGTAATTTTCTTGCTCACAGTGGATTTCCGAGTACCTAGTGAAGAGTTTTGACTGATAAAGTTTGATTATATCGCAAAATAATGGGAATTGAATGTTTGGACATCTACTTATTTTATTTCTTTAAACACATAAACATTGGTACAAGTAGACACCAAACAGATATACGCCACATAAATCATTCGATTTGTGTGAGGGCTGGGATACTGTCCGGGTGCCCAACCGTATCCACCAACTCCGTTAAAGTGCCGGACTTTCGCTTTCCGTCAATTTTGTAGACAACACCCCCGCCGCCAGAAGGCAGTGAGTAGGACTGCCCTAGCAGTGGTTGCATCCATTTGAGAGCATTTCGAGACGATATTTAGACTCCAACTAAGTAGACCAAGGGTACCGTGCTCTCTGAGAAGCCCGGATGTCTTATATTCAAACCCAAATGGAACCATATGTTGAGTATTGTATCAAAGAATCCCAAACAACCCCAAAGTAACTATTATCTATTATTTATTAATTTCCAACCAATAGTTCTATAATTGACATCAATTCATCATGAAAGCAGTCCCCCACCTCCCATAAAAAACTAATTTTGTGTTTGATTTCTAAATAGTTCCATATTTCTTATAATCAAGAAACAATACAAAATAAATTGAAACAAAAACTCATTATCAATCTCAATGGAAAAAAAAAGATTCAATTCTTATAAGATAGACTTTGACTAGGAAACTATATTATTTGATTCATAAAATAAATCTCGTTTATAAGCTTGCTGAAACATGCAGAATAATAAAAACACAATTATATATATATATATATTCTTCAATCTCTTTTCATTGTTACCAAGTACTGTTTACAAAGATGAACTTTTAAATTGTAGTTGTATACTTCACATTAAAGATCAAAGGTTATTTTGTATTAAAAGAAAAAAACAATAATGTAAGCATAGAAATCATCCTGATTAAATCAACTTATATTCTTAAAAAGTATAATTATTTTATGCATTCATAATAAATGTATTATCTAACCAATGTAGATTTATTATCTGAAATTTCGACATACTATTGACTACATAAACAAGGCAATAAAAAAAAGCTTATACATGGCCTCAGCAACAGTAGCCTGTTTAGACAATAAGCAGACTCAAAAGAATAACGGATAAGTAAGGAAATGAAATTGTTAAGATAATAATCACAAAGAACACATTAATATATAATAATAAGACTACAGGATTATTTATTTATTTAAACGCATAAACATTGGTACAAGTAGACACCAAACAGATATACGCCACATAAGTCATTCGATTTGTGTGAGGGCTGAGATACTGTCCGGGTGCCCAAACCGAAACAGGTGGTTTTCTTAGGGAGCCACACCGAACCTTTGACATAAAGGTCTAATCCACAAGGCAATGGAGCAACGTTAGAAGATACATTCCCATGGTAGCCGGTGACCAAAAATTGGTTCATACGCCATTTGTTCCCTTAGGATCCAGGAGCCCATGTGCACCATTAGTTTGGAATCAGGATTTTCTAACTCCCCCAAGTGAATCCTCCATATCCACCAACCCGGTCAAAGCGCCGGACTTTTGCTTTTCGTTCTGCCAACTTCGTAAACAACCCATCACCACGAGAAGGCAGTGAAAAGGACTTCCGTGGCAGTGCTTGTATGCACGTGGCCATGTGAGAGCATTTCGAGAGAAGAGCGGGCTCTCCCCACTCTCGGTCGTACCAGGGCATAATATGACGGGGAATATTTATTGCATAGGTTAAGGATGTTAAAAGTTTCAATAACTCATTTGTCTTTGAAGTATATGCTGATGATATTGCCCATAAGGACAACGAATGCTTCACAGTTAAATCAATCATCACAGAGAATTTAAAACTGAGTTATTGATTTACATATTCTCTTGTTTTCCTGTCTTACAAATTTTCTCACATACACTACCTCAGAGCATGGATTAACCTTTAAGTTTAATATAAACCTACCAAAAAATGGATGTTATAGTTTATGACAAACAAATTTACACATTACAATCAGTCTATTTTCCTGAAATCTCAAAATACCATCATAAAACAGTTAGTAACCACTCCTTTGTTTTTAAATAATTTCCTATATCAATTCATTCATAAAAGTTATACAAAAACAATTGCCAACTAATGATTATCAAGTATTTTTGAGAATAATCTAACATTCTGTTATCGGTTTCTCACAAGTAAACTCATCTGTTATCATTAAAACAAATGACAAATTAAATGTATGAAAAAATAGATCATTTCTCTACCTACGATTTGGTAGTTTAATTTTAATCCTTAGCTGAGTGCTACTCGGAATTTGATAATGACAGTTAGAAAGTAATAACTATGAGAAACTTTCCCATTTTCAGCAGTCCCTCAGTTAATTTCACATCATAAACACTGAGGTAAGTATTCAGTGGCTTTGGGAAATATTACATACTTATCATATGATCATCCTCTTCTATTTCCATGAATTATCTTTCAAAGTTGCAAGATTATATAAACAAAACCCTCGGAAATTAAGTTTCTAATCAGTAAATCACATCACGAGATTGCCAGGCTTGTAAAGATCAGTTGCAAATATGCTAGACGTGATTTATTTAAAGCCTATTCACTGTCAAACCTTGATTTACCGTGAGAAACCTGAATTAGCGCAAGAGAATACTCTTTGATTTCACCAAATCCATAAATGTGCGGCATACAATGTATTAGCGACCTATCATTTCACCTAAGGCTATTACATAACCAACTATTCTAAGATAACTTGGTGGCCAAAATCGACCGAGTATATGATTATTTGGATCCAAGCTCATTGAAACGCCTGTTGCACAACAGGTCACCTCTTTTCTAACTGAATAAAAACATTAGTAGTGACTTAAGCCGTCCACGCCTCCTGTTAGAAGGTTCATCCCATCCGATCACCGATTTTAAGAAATGCCTGACACTAGTCGAATTAAACACCAATAAAACAGAATATTGGTATTGTGAGATATTACCTCTATTTCATATGAAGATTAGTGGATGGAAGTAGGTTAGCACAATTAGCGAAGAGATCCTGTGATTATTTTGTTTTCTCTAGGTTGTCGCATAGCTACGGTCCGTAACTAAAATACTGTCGAGTTATGATGAAGACCTGTGCGCAAAGGAGGTTGGCATTAAGCAAACGGCAATTAAGATTCCCTACCACCCGTTTCTTAGAAATTGTAGGGTGTGAAAGAAAAATCTATTAGTCGTTGATTTGTGTACTTGTTCTGTAATTGTAATTTTGGGGTTTTAAGAAAATTGCCGTGGGGATAACGAGAACTAATATCCTGTTTATGTAGCGAGCATCCTTGAAAAAGACTGACAGATAATGCAGAAAAGCTAACAAATGTAGTCTCTTCAGGAGTGTTACCAAACCGCTCCACAAGCAGCACACATCTTGAGTACCAAATTATTTGTCAGAAGATTAACGTTCACCACAGTAAGGCCTGATGTCTACACTGATTCAACAAACCCTATGTGTAAACACCAAGGCATACTGCAAGTATAACAGGCTTTGCAACGACAGAAACGATCCAGGAGTACCGTTTTAATGACTACCTGTTGTTCCGCCTGTACCTGTCACGTAAAGACCGACATAGTACCTACCTTTTGAAATCTAGTGCTGCATATAGCCGCCTCTCAGCTTAACGTTAGTGACCCGATAATGTAGAACATTGGTCATCCTTATTTGTCAACGGTGACCTTACATCCCATTTCAATATAAATATTGAGTTCGTAGGTGAGAACCGAGGAAACTATAGCTTGTTTAAAGCCACTTCGAAACCCTCGTATTTGAACACCTTCTTAAGTAGCGTTCTGTCAAACCGTTGTGAGACTAAGAAGCAGAATCCTACACAGCCAATCAAGACAAATAGAAGGAATGTTCAGTACCCAAAAGCTGTCAAGAAAACAAATTATTAGTGATAATATATTGACAAATGCAGTGGTCAATAAACATTTGGGTTATTTACAATAGTTTCAACTTGAAGGATGCAATAGTGTTTTCGCAGTTACGGAATCTGGGAAGAGTTGGTGATAATTTATTAAAGGAACGTAGGCCGCAGTAATCAACCGTCCGGAGAAATAGCGACCATGTAACATGTTCACGCATTGAGTTGCAACTGCTATACTAGGACATTTGACGTAAACATTTCCTTGGGCACTGGTGCGATCAACAAAAATGTGGAGACATCCGCCGGCCTTGGTACATTCCTCAATAACATCGTCGCGTATTTCTTCGAAAACCGAATGAGTAGCAACATGTGGATCAAACATATTGGATAACATAAAGCATTGTGTGCACACGGGAGGAGCAATTGCGGATGATGAACTAACACTTCCAGCTGAACCCAGTATCGGGTTGTTTTGCCCGATATGTAGTTGAGCAAGGGCAGCTTTGGGGATCTCTAAGCCAGTGCCTTCAGCGAGTTTTGCCATCAAAGCCAATCTTCCAGTGGTGCCTAGATCAACGCCTGAACGGTCAGCCTCATCGTTGTCTAAAGCGCTTAGACAAGCATACTCACTGCGTTCGGTTACATGATTCACCTAAAAAGTTGAAAGTTACGGATTTATTACTTACTTTCATTGGTCGGCCAGCCAACTCAAACCCGTTTAATTGATCCAGTGCTTTTTTAGCGTCATCACTATTGACGTACGTTACGAAGCCATAACCTTGCGAACGATTGGTAGTAGGGTCCTTGATTAATTTTATATCCTCTATCTTCCCAAAAGGCTCAAATATACCTTTTAACATTTCTTCCGTGATGTTGTAATGCAAAGAACCTATGTATAATTTCATCGGTCCCCTGTTCTGTTGCGACGGCCGAGGCAATGAGGGAGTAGCGCTTACCCGATTCTTCTCAGCATGGCTTTGTTGGATCTGAATTGGAACGCCTAATAAGCGAGTGCCGGTAAGTCCAAGGGCCAGCTGAGCTGACTCTACTTCACGGAATTCAACATAGGCTATGCCTTTTGATCTTTTGGTTTTGTTGTCCATGATTAGACGAACATCTCTGATTTTACCCACTGAAGTGAAGAAGTCCTCCAAATCTCGTTGTCGAATGCGCGCAGACAGCTGCCAAACGAACACAGTCCGTGCGTCTCGCTCTTCTGGACTAAGTTCAGGACTACAAATCAAAAGAAATAAGGTCACAAAGGAACATACGATTTCTGACGTCTTTCAGTCCGCGACGATCTGTGGTCATCTCTACTAGACCTATGTCGATCCCGGTCACGCGAACTATGGCGGCGTTCATGTCGTCCCCGGTCGGATTCAAGATTTTTATCCCGTCGACGTTCTTTGCTTCTGCTGCGCGACTTATGTCTGAAAAATGCAACTTGTCGAAAGCCCAGAAACCATACCTTCTACTTCGATCCCTGGAACGTGAACGACCACGTCTTCGATGACCATTGGACTTCGAGTAGCCCTATTGAGCGACAATATTAGCAGATTCAGGAGGTGGAAAGGAATAAAAAAGACAGGCAAGAAAATAAATACTTTCGTAAAACATACCGAAACAATCTATTGATAACTACAGCTGAGGTGGGAAAGGGCCAGACGTCCACAACGACGTCAACGAGGATCGTAGACCCAGAGTATCCTAACAAAACATAAAGAATTTCTGTCAAAATTAGATAACATTATCTTGTGCCAGTCAAGGGACCCTAAACTTAGGACGAGTAAAACAAAACATACCTCCCGAGCGTAATGGTCCTCAAGCATCGCCTCAACGTCTATGTCGTCAGTCATTGTTCCCAGTTTGAGTGTCGACCAATGGTATAAGCCAAAACCCGTGGTCTAGCCAAAATAGAAGACGGAAGATTTGCTGGGACGTATCAACTCCTTGGGTGACAAATTACGCGGCGACCTGACGAACAACAAGCAAAGCCACCTTAGCTAAACAAAAGAAAGGTTTCAATATATAAAAAGCAGATTCCGAATGACTGAGAAAGAAATGGAAGAAGAAGGACTCTATACATCTGCAGTACTTAAAAGTATCAGCTCTCAAAGTTATATAAAGTCAACATCTCAGACTTTAAGTTGGAGGATCCAAGCCTTAAGAAAATTTTTGGTTGTGCACTCCTAGTCAGCATATTTGTTTAGTTAGTACTTATTTTACAAGATTATTCCATAGTCTTCTCACTACGGCGATATCTCACGGTGATGCGTCACTGAAAATGAGAAACCTCATATCTCAGCACTTTAGTTTCTCACGGTGGAAGCATCCAATCTTCATATTAGCTCCATATTCTTGTAGCAGAACATGATGCCGGCCTACTTGTTCCTAAATTATAGATATTGTTCAGTCTCTTATTTTTTCCCAGTCAGGTTCAATTCCATTATATCTAGAGACACTCCGTCCCGTTGTATCGAAGACAAACTGGCTTACATAAAAAAAAGATTGGCCGATCTAAGTATAAAGTTTCTTGAAGTAGTGGGACCATTACCGCCCGAGTTAAACAGATACGTTATCACCAACATATTTAACACTGATTTCTTTGAACCAACCGAAACTTTCAATAACAGGACTAAACAGATAGGAAATGTTAAATAGATCACTCTACATTATCGAATTAAGATACGGCTAAGTCACAGAAATACTGTCACACATGGGATGAGCTACTGGCCTACGTGACTTAATGATAGTCTATTCTTAAACCTTTACCATCCTAGTTTCTACAGCAAGTACAAGCTTTAACGTTTTTCATGATAACACGGCTGATGAACAAGCTGCATAGGCCTGTCGGATCTTGAATATTACCAGAACCTAGGAGAAGCTTCGTACAGGCCTAAAAAAGAATAGATCTCTACAGAAAACTCACCCTCTTTCATACCCATTATAGTTCTGCACTATCACGAGCTTCCTCAAAAGCCACTTGTGCAAGTGATCTACCTAATTACTTAAGAAATATAACCCTGGTTATCGTTGTTACCATAACACCTACAGCAATTCATCTGGGCAATTCCAGAATACCGTGACCTCAAAATTACTGGGCATAAATAATGGTATTTCGTAACACTTCTAAATTACAGGCCATTCAACAGCCCCGGATATCCCGACTGCATAATTTCTGTATAAAGGATAACCGTGATCGGTGCCTTAAATCGACCAAAGAATACTTGACTCAACAACCGCGGATCACTGCCTTGTAGCCCACACTCAGAGCACTACAGCAACGTTGAAAAGCATGATTATCTTTTCAAAAATGGAGTTCATGGAAACACATAACAAAGTTCTAATCGTCAACGATGACATTTCCAAGAAATCATAGTTCTCTTCAACCCTTAAGAAAATTCACATATTCACTTTGAACTACGATACACAGGACAAACTTCCAAAGCCATCAAAGACATTATCGGAGGTCTCAGCTTTCGCACGCATACACTGAAAACTGCTTTATGAAAGTAAATTTAGGTAACCCCACCTTCAGCATTTGAATGACACTAACGACAAGACTACGTGTTCTTTATGACGCAAGGTAGCCGCCGTTTTAGACTACTCGAAAACAACCATAATCGGTAACCTGTGAAGTTCCATTGGAATGGTAGTTCGTACCTACTGTGGGTCTTTCATGAGAATGCTGACCTAGAATGAATACGTACCAGCGGGATTGGACACGCTCCTATTTGAACTGTCAAATATTTAAGGTTACTAAGCATGGTGAATGCCCCTTAGATTCATGAAGTTCGTTTCAACCACGTTTATCCTCATCTGTTAGAACCGACGTTCACCAAATGGAAACCATTATCTCTTGATACGTACCAACCATTTCAAACATTGGCCAAAATAAATATCTATCGAGCCCTCTTCCATGTAGAAAGATGGGTCCCAAACCTTGACTGAATCCAAGCTACAACGACTGGTTGTGGAAACAGGTCCTCATCTGCCTTCTTTCATAAAACCATTTGGCGCCGCGCGACTTTGAACGACTGCCAACTACCGATGGTCTAGCGGTGTACAAAAAACGATTGGCCTTTTTTGATTTGTTTTTTATGGTTACGAAACGCGATAAACGTCAGTTTTAGATAAGGTGCAACCTAGATGACTTACGATTAGACACCTCGACTTTCGGCTGAACTCATACATCCTTCTCCGGCTTCGCTAAACATGGCTTTAGGTTCCTATGTGAGCCTGATTACAAACGCTGTACATTCAGTAGAGTCTCTCTCAGCTGAAGACACTCAGATGACATATTTGTTTGTATTGCCCCATCATATGACGCTTTCATTTTTCAGGCAGTGACTCAATTCGTTAATTCCCTAAATCATTTCATGGAAGATCTCCAAACGTCCTGTATAAGAAGTCAAAGTAATATTAAGTTAACGGGAATGGAACTGAAGGTAATGTCATCAGCAACTATCTGAAGGCCTCTAAATTGCAAGGCATCCTCTTTCCTGATGAGCTTTCCACCAAATTGTCTAACAGCAACGTAACTATAGGAATCACAACACGTGCTTTGACAAATAAAGACCTCAAGAAATCTTAATAGTCCCTGAGACCCACCTCAAATCAACACGAAAAACTATTTCGCATAATATTATTTTGCCTTCCCTTCCTTTTTCGCACAGTTTACACGTCCCACGGCGTCGGTATTGCATGGTCAGTATTCAACACATTTCAAGTGCTCAGATTCAAATGTTCAATCCAAGCTATTGTAGTTTAGATTTCTGTCCAGCTCTCCTCCGCCACGATGAGAAGTTAGCGACCGCTCATTCTCCGCTCGTAAAGGTAAGAAACAGCTGCTGAGTAATAAAGGGCACTGAATATAAGATTTGGACTGCATTTGTACGGCATTTGACTTCTGTTGTACTTTCGTTATTTGAGTTGGATGTTTGGGATTGATGCTTTCATTGTTCTTCTGAGCAACATCCTGAGAAAAAATTTCAGACAAAAATTAGCCATGAACCGATTAATGTTGGACCATCACAATTGAAAACCTGGAAGCACTGGACGGCCGTTTCGTCCTATTGTGGGACTCCTCAGCAGTGCGCATCTACGATCCCGCGAGCGGGATTCGAACCCAGGGCCTTCGGTCTCGCGCGCGAACGCCTAACCAACTGGATAGTTTCTAACATCAACCAATCCACGAAATTGCGCGACCAACTTCCGTTTTACTGAGGTAGATACCTGTCTCTACCCGACAATGATTAGCTCCACTGGTCACGGCTTCTCACTATAACTCCGAGAATTCCCTCACGAAGCTAGTCACTAGTGAGCACATGTTAATTACTGGTATAGGGGTTGTGGATGCGCACTGCTGAGGAGTCCCACAATAGGACGAAACGGCCGTCCAGTGCTTCCAGGTTTTCAATTGTGATGGTCTAACATCAACCGATTCAATATCTCAATCAAAAACTTAATAATCTCCACAACCCCTATACTGGTAAAAATGAGCCATTTGAACTTCTCCACATACGGCTGACAGCTTTTTCTGATGACCTTGGTCATGATCAGTTATTGCCGACCCTTAAGTAGTCTCCTGGGTTATTCAACAAAATTAAACAATTCAGTACACAATTCATCATACAGACCAATTTCGAAAAAACTCCAAACTGTTACTATTCTAAAAGAGATGGTGGTGTTCTGATCATTAATCATACAACAATTTTCCACACTTTTCATGATAGTTAATGACGATCAGTTTTTAGAGACCAGCAATTGAACCAGGTCAAATCCATTTGATAGCAACTAAGATTAGAGGTTAAGTGAAATCAACATTAACTTGGCATGTGAAGACTACGTAATCAGTTAACAATTTGGAAAAGTAACGACAGTCCCATCACGTACCAAACATTTAGCGGAATGCATGACTGAAATACTCAAAATAACAACGCTACAACTGGAAGTAAAATAAAGGTTGATCATCACAGGAATGTACGGAGGTAGAGATTTTTATGTACAGTGCATATGTACGAAGGTGCACAGAATCATGATCTTACACTAATGTCAGAAAATTTTCTCTACGGTTACCACAATATACCATGCATTAATGAGATAATGTCGATTCACTGTTCCACGTTTTTTACAACCTGATTACATATAGTAAACGTTACACCTTTTATGATTCAATACTTCATAATAATAACAAATATAAACTGTAAGTAGGTCTTAAGCCAGGCCTCAAGATGAACCCCCTGAAGTCTTAGTGATAGACCGTGACCAGTGTCCGTTGTGAGGCGCTTACTCACTGAATACAATGGAGGATTAGTTTAAGTTAGACATTAACACCATTGGATTCCGGCTCGATGGTCATCACTACATCACAACAATCCCACAGTTATAGTTTCCAAGATCTGCTGATAAATGTTACTCGGATCATTGTATATAGGTATCTATTAAGAATATATTCATTTCATTATGAGCTATTTGGAATGGTGATTGAAATGTATGTATTGGTGTTCATTTTCAACCACACGATCCTTGATAGTAAACATACGATAACTGAAAAGATTTACATTCAAGATTTGGAACTTAGAGAAAGTCAGAAAAATGGTGAACGCGGGAGAACTTTATCGGTTTGACATGACACAAGCATGGAGTGTAATCACCCTACGTAACCCATTCCTTTTCATATTACCATGTCCCCAACCCGTGTTCTTTGGCCGCAACCACTGGCTCCCTCTGGACGAGTCAGTATAGGTGATGATGTTACATCCACATGAGGTTTGATAAACTAGGTAGTCCTTCCGTGCCTATAGGTAACCCTCGTTCTATTGATAAAAGAAACCAGACTAGTAGTGAGCAGGTCTTTATTCAGATCTCAAGATAGTCACAGTGGTGCGGGGGATTACCCGTTCAAACACACAAAGCTTTTCAATATTCAATATAGAATATCAGGAACTGTAGTGCCTACATAAAGTAAGGATGTGAATGAATACTAGATCTCTATTGTTTTG